TTTAAAAATATTTTCAAATAGAAAGCAGTTATTTTAAATAGTAAAAATATTTCACAATATTACTGCTTTTGCTGTACTTTGGATCAAAAAATGCAGGCTTGGTGAGAAGAAGAGACTTTAAAAAAAAAAAAGAATAATCTTACTGTTCAAAAACTTTTGACTGGTAGTGTAAGTTTATAGTTTTAACAAGATGTTTTTTGACCTTATAAAAATAGTTTTGTTATTAGGATATACAAAAATATTTTATAGCAGGAAACTTTTCTATACAATTGTGTTTAACCTAAGCATGAAGTATAGAAATAATCAAATTGTGTATTAAAAAATAATGTGCATTAAAAAATGTAAATGTTGCACAGGTAAAAATAAGATAAATACATGTGGGAATGAATAAATATATTTAAAAAAATGAATGAATGCATAAATAAGCTTAAAAATAAATAAATTAATTAATTGAATATAAAAATAAATGAAATCATAAATAAAAGTTAGAATAAAAATAAATACAGAAAATAATAATTGAAGAAAAAATGTAATAAAAATTATTTCAGGATAAAATTATTACAAGTGAATTGTATTTGTTTAATCAAATCATTTATTCCTTTATTTATTTTTCTATTACATGAAATATTACAAAAAATGGTTTTAAGTCAGTTATTTCTATCTTTTGCTGTAGTGTGTCAGTGTAAAATATGGTCCCCTAAACGTCCCGAGAACGTCCTGAATGTTCTGTGAAGGTCCTCCAAATAACGTCCCCCAACCCTTTAAAGAACTCGACATCGTGACCGTCTCAGAACGTTCTGGGGACGTAACTAGGCAACGTCCTTGACACCAGCGGGGATGTTCTGAGAATGTTTTGGGAACGTCAGATTTTCAAGTAAAATATGGTCCCCTAAACGTCCCGAGAACGTCCTGAATGTTCTGTGAAGGTCCTCCAAATAACGTCCCCCAACCCTTTAAAGAACTCGACATCGTGACCGTCTCAGAACGTTCTGGGGACGTAACTAGGCAACATCCTTGACACCAGCGGCGACGTTCTGAGGACGTTCGGGGAACGTAAAATTTCTACCGGCGTAAGGACATTGTTACAATACTACATGTGACAACATGTTGAATAAAGTTGTTGTTTTTGTTTTCTTTGTGCACAAAAAGTATTATTGTAGCTTCATAACATTGCAGTTGAAGCACTGATGACATATGAACTATTTTAACGATGTCCTTACTACATTTCTGGGTCTTGAATGTGGTAGTTCCATTGCGGTCTATGCAGGGTCAGAAAGCTCTTGGATTTCATCAAAAAAATATCGTAGTGTTCCAAAGATAAATGCCTTTCAGGTTTGGAACAACATGAGAGTGCGTAATTAATGACAGAGCTGTTGAACTATCCCTTTAAGTGCATTTACGTACTTTCATAATGTGCACTTTGTAATATCAAATGAAACTTACTAGTAGGGCTGTGCAAAAAAATCGAATGCGATTTTCATGCGCATCTCGTCAGTAAAGCCACTCCTGTGATTAAAAGTAAATTTCCAGCATGTGCAATCAGATGGAGTGGCATTTACTACACAGAGCCGTAGTTCACAGACAAGCTACACAAAATAGTGTTAAAAATCACAGGCAATTGCCAATTTTGAACGCGATTTTGAGTAGCTTGTCAGTGAACTAAGGCTCTGTGTAGTAAATGCCGCTCCATCTGAAAGCACGTGCTGGAGATTTACTACTAATCACAGGAGCGCCTTTACTGAGGAGATGTGCATGAAAATCGCATTCGATTTTTTGCACAGCCCTACTTACTAGTATAAACTTAGTTAGAAGTTGTCACGGCGCATGTGGAGAGATGAGGCGAGGACTCAAATTAAAGGAAGAAAGGGTTATTTAATAATAAAATGAAACAAAAACTACCCCGAGGGGAAGACACACAGGCAGGGACAACAATACAGGCAGAGCATACTTGACGACAAACAACAGATCAGCACAGGACTGCAGACAACTGGAGAATAAATAGGGAGACAAACGAGGAGGGTAACGAAGGAAACACAGGTGGAGCAACTTAAACAATAATGAAGTAACAAGATGGGCGGGGTCAGACAATAGACAGGAGAGAGCACATGGCACCAAACAAACACAACACAAGCCATGTGCTCACAGAAAAACACAGTGTCATCTGGTGGCCATCCTGGGCACACCAGCTGAAGACTGTGACAGAAGTACACTTATTTTGATGTGTTGAGTAACGTACTAAAGCACATGTACAGTACTTATAAAATAATTGTACTGTTATTCAATATTACATTGCAAGTAGATTTTAAATGTACTTAATCATCTTTACAAAGGTGAGATTACAAACATTTAAATACATGGCTATTTCAATAGGAATTACATTAAATTTAAGTTTACCATAAATTGTCAGTATATTTGACATGAAATTACATACAAAAATGTAGCCATGTCCTAGTTAATGGGTCAAAAAAGCACTCTAAAATTCTGCTATTTGCATTTAAAATAAATTTAAACCATAGTCATTTTATTATAATAATTTTATAATAATTTATATTTCATTGCAATTAACATACAATTGAGATTCTGAAAACAGTAAATTCAGTTCACCCATAGATTAACTTTATCATCATTTACTCACCCTCATGTTGTTCCAAACCTGTATGACATTCTTTCTTCTGCATAAAAAAAGAAGATATTTTGAGAAAAAAAAAATCCTCCATATAATGGGCGTCAATTGTAACCAGACCTGTTTGGTACTCAAAATTCTTCAAAATATCTTATTTTCTTTACTTTTACAGAAGAACGATTTGGAACGAAATGAGGGTAAGTAAAAGCATAATTGTCATATATGAGTAAACTATCCATTTAAGTATAATCTTTTATATTTTTTTTTATTTGTAACATTTTTATAAGAGTACTAATGTAAGTGATGAGGTCTACCTCAAAATCAGCACTTAATCCCAAAGCACAATTCATCCCAAAAGTGTTCAGTGCAGGCCGGTCAAGATTTTTTTTTACACCAGATTTAGTAAATCATGTGGCTCGTTTGTTCAAGGGGACATTGTCATGCTACTATAGAAAACAACCCTGTTGTCACAAATGAGTAAGCACAGAGTTTTTTAGAATGTCAAGATATGCCACAGCATTAAGATTTCACTGTAACTGAGCATTATTAGGTAATTGAATAGTGTTAATTAGGAATGCATGTGAATGGACATGTATATTTTTTGTGCAATTAACATAATTTTTCTCTTGAATTTTAGAAGACATTTTTTACCAGTAAGTGCACTGGAAAATAAAGTTGCGATTTTGGGATGGAGGCAAATGATAATCATTTGGTTATTAAAGTTATGCCGGCCCCTATAGTGCTAAAATACATTTGAAACTTTTTTTTTTTGGACTAAGTGAAGTCTATTAGGACCCTATAGAGAATCTCCATTTCAGTGTTTATGTTTCCAATTTTTAACTATTGGTCCTGTTGCAGCTACAATACTGTGAAGTTTCTCTTGTCTAGACATCTGTGTCGCATTAGGTAGAAAAAGACTTGGGCCCTGTGTGGTCCCCCTGCGGGGGGCTATTGTGAAGAGCTGTGGATCCTCCCCACCACAGTGACTCTCAGGGACCTCAAAAATAATTTACTCAAACTATAGAACACTCTTAGAAATAAAGGTGCTTCACGATGCCATAGAAGAACCCTTTTGTCTAAATGGTTCCATAAAAAACCTTCAATATCTGAAGAACCTTTCTGTTTCACAAAAGGTTCTTTGTGGCGAAAGAAGGTTCTTCAGATTATAAAAAGGTAAGAAAGAGATGGTTCTTTAAAGAACCTTTGACTGAATGGTTCTTTGTGGAACCAAAAATGGTTCTTCGATGGCATCGCTGTGAAGAACCTTTAAAGCACTTTTATTTTTAAGA